GTTTGCTCCGTGAAGAATCAACTTGTGACCATGGCGCGCATAGGGTGGGACCATCTGCAGTGCTATGTGGCAAGAGAAAACGGTGCCCCTGGAGGGCACGTTGTTCCCGGCTGCAGGAGGTGGCCATTTGGAGTCTTGAAATGGGCTCGGGAGAATGGCTGCAGTTGGAGCAGCTCGACCTCCGTTGATGCTGCACGACAAGGGCACTTGCGTGTGTTGAAATGGGTACATGATAATGGTGGCTTCTGGCATGAGGATACCTGTGCCGCGGCTGCTTTGGGGGGTCATTTGGAAGTGCTTCAATACGTTCGTGAAAATGATTGCCCAGGGGATTTCCACACCCTGCGCAATGTTGAAGAAAAAGGACATTCTGAAGTTTACCACTGGGCTATGGTCAATGGCTATCACTGGAGCCTTGTCGCTGACTAGCCGGATAGCCAAATGTAAGAGAGAGTAGAAATAAATAATCCCCCAATCCGTCTACTAGCTACTGAGTACGGCCGCCTACTAGCCAGAGAACGTTCCAAGAAAAAAACGGAAGGCTTTGCTCGTCCAGATCCCTAAGCAAGCAATGACTTTCCCATACGGTAGGCCTGTTTCTAGCATGTTTTCGGCTCCAGGGCGGGAGAGAATAAGCTACTTGGCAACATTCGTAAGCTTACACAACTCCAAGAGTGACCAGTGAAATGTCCAAGAGCTCCCCCAGCACATTTTGGAGGATCTTTCTCGGAAGGTGGTCGAGGTGCGGTCACGAATCCTACGGACTCAACGCAGGTGGTCCGTGCTTCAGTCAACCTGCATCTTCCAGTTGTTGACGGGAACCACTGCGGAACATGGAAGCGGTCCTTCATAGTTTGGATAGACGTCCATTGCTATCGCTACTGTGGTGATTGGAAACGTCTCTTTATTCGCTGGAGTTGCTACTGTCTACTTGATCGTTGCATGTAACCAATCGAAGGAGCACTCTCACAAAAATCGTTGGAACAGATCGACGCGCTGCTAGAAAAGGCACTCTCAGAGCTAGCAAGATGGACGACGATGGCATCACGGATCAATGGGATAACTGCAGCAAGTTAGATGTGTACCTTGGTGACCCGGCAAACCTGTCCAATGAGCTGAATCGTGTCAGGAAGAAGATTGGCCTTGGTAGCATGAAGGCTCTCCATTTCCACATTGATCCATCACGAGTGCATACCACAGCATCCATGTTGACCTTTTTCAAGCGCATCCTTAGCCTAGTGCCACAAATCACCAAGATCCACATTGGAAGTCATGAAATCTTGCAAATCATTGGAAGAGGTGGATCCGCCAAAATCCCAGTCTCGGTGGTGATTGCCATTATTGAGCAGTTGCTGCGCCGCCGACGCTATCCGCTCGGTTGTGTGAGATTCTTCAATGTCAAATTGGAGGGCAGCTGGCAGGACTTTCAGAATTTTGGATCTGTGGTTCGGCGCATTGACCATTTGGAACGATTTAATCTGGATAAGGTCACACTGTTGGATACAGTACCGGCATCGCAGGTTCCTCCGAATGCTACCCCTGGCTGTTGGTTGGATCCCGTCATGCAAGCCGTGGCTACCCTACCTCGCTTGAAGCACTTAAGAGTCCTGGGAAGTTCTGATTTTGGTCTCATGAATGCCTTGACGGGACGCCTAGAGGATATGGATTCGGTCGTACAGAGTCAGACTCTTCGATTGATTTGTTCTTCCAACAGTCTCGTCTCGCTGTGTCTGATCCATTTCAATATTAGTGACGATAACACGGTCGCCATGGCAAGAGCCCTCGAGAGCAACCGTTCGTTGCGTGAGTTGGATATTGATGGGACTTTGGGAAGTGACAGTGCCCGAGCACTGGTATCGCTCATGGAACACAACAACTTTCTGGAGGATCTCAATATCTGCATCAGGGGACCTGGAGAAAATGATGACAGCAACGCCACAGAACTGATGAAGCAGAAGGACGCGGAAATCATCAAAGCAGAAGATGAAGTCAATCTACGGCTGGCAGAGGGGGTTAAAAAGTCGACGTTGGTCAACTTTGCCCTATTTCGAGGACGCATCAGTGTCAAGTCGCAAGATGCATTCCGGAACATGGTGAAGGAACAGTACTGTTTGGAGTCGCTGACACTCTACACGGGTGACGACAGCCTCAACCGAAAACTAGCGAAAGATGAAACCATCAAGTTTCATTGCAAGCTGAATAAGATGGGCAGACGACAGCTCCTGACGGGTAAACCACAGACGAAACCGTGGAAGGAGGAATGGAAAGCAAAGAGCGAAGTCTCGCGTCCCCTCGAAAAGTTCTCTTCCCGTGAACATTGTTTGGTGGACATTCTGGCTCGATCCTTGGATGATTTGAGCAGTGTTTTTTATTTCTTGACAATTAACCCTTGCATTTGCGACTCGGCATTGCAGAAACTTGTATCCACGGAGGAACAAGAAAAGGTCAAGAAGCGCATGCGCAAGAAGCGCAAGTCAACGACTGCGACAGCTGCTCCATCCAACAAGCGAACACGGTTGTATCGAGCTGCCAAGTATCGCGGAGTTTCTTACAAGTAGAGAAATCTCTCACAACAATCCTCCCTGCGTATGATCCACTCTATTTCCAGGAACACAACGCCAATGTATCCTGGCGTTGGAAGCGTCTTCTTCCTGAAAACTTTAAATGGCGATGGTGTATATTCATCCTGTACACTACACAACAAATTTATTTACTTATACAGCAACAACTATAGAATCCATTACTTCTTCCCATTCGTTCTTAGATGTCTTGTCCGCAATTGTTGCACACGCCGTGTTCATGACACCACTTGTGCATTGCCTTTGCAAACGCCCATCCGGCCAAGGCAGAGCTCCTCGTGAGCTTGTACCTCTGCCTCTTCTGCTTCACCAAGGCTGGGTCGCCTTGGAGCAAAGACGACATACTGCTCCAGCCGTCATAGTGGTATGGTCCCGTCTGTGTTGTCCCACCGCTGAAGGAGTTTTTGCTGATTTCGAGTGCCTCGGCCTTCGCATAGAGTTCGTCTTTTGAGAGACCCGGAGCATCTTCGCCCACCTCCCGTTCGTGCAAGAAGAGAGCCACAAGTAGTGCACAAGCCCCGGTGTTATGTCTTGCTGGTACGTACTCACCATCCTTCTTTCGTTGCAGCCACACCGCGGGGGGCTTGGGTCCTTTGAGCCGTTCCAAAAGGTCGGCCTTGGTGCCAGTCTTGGGCAGACCGAACTCTGCGCATTTCTGTTGGAGCTGGGCCACAGTGAGCTCATCTTTTGGACTAGCTCTGTTCTCTTTCGAAGTCTCCTCTTGAGCATCAACTTTCGCGTCGTCGCTTGGTTTACTCGTGGTAGCAGACTTTGTTCTGCGAACAGCCTTCTTCGGCTTCTTGCTCTTCTCGGCTTCGGCTGCAGCGAGTTTTCGCTTGCGATGTTTTGCTTCTCCCTTCTTCGCCCTTTTTAGGGTTGCGAGCGCTCGGGCCAAATCTTCATCTTCGTCATCGCTGCTACTTCCTGCATCATCTTCAAAGTACGAAAGCAGTTCTTGCGAAGGCTTGAACATATTCGATTGCTGAGAATGCGACTTTGTCACATCCTTCAGAGTGGTTCTCCCCGTTTGTTTGCGATTCGAGGAATGTTTTGATTTTTTCTCTTCCCGTTTGCCCGCGGCAACCGCCTGACAAGGTGACTTCTTTACAGTGATGGACTCCCGAACGTCCTCTTGGTCGCTGTCGTCACTGCAGAGGTCGATGGCACCTGCCGAGTCTGGTTTGCTGGAGGAAGGTTGTTTGGCTATGGACGCTGCATTGTTGTCGTCTATGGATTCAGATTGCTTGCCCTTACTGCTCGCAGCCTTGGCTTTCTCCTCTCCTTCGACTCGCTGTTGCATGTGGTACTTCGCGAGCCTCGAGAAGTCTGTTCCTGGGGGGATCTTTTTCACTTCTGCCTTGAAGGTTTCGTAGCCAAATTCGAGTGTTAGTTTGCCCTCCCTTACATCCTGACCCACTTTCTTAGCCCACTTTGAAAGCTCAAAAAACGTATGCTTGGCCGACGAAGTCCTCAGAACGTCGAACCCTTCCTGTCTCAGCAGACGTATTGCATCATCAAGGTTCTCGCGAGTGATCCCAAGCTTCCGATGGGCGATGTAGCCTCCGCTGACTTGTTGTTTCTCTTCCTTCCCTTCGATCACGTATGCAATGCGGCAGTTATGGTAGCCAAAGACGAACTGCCCATGATACATGCGTTGCTTTTGCGACTGCCATCGTCCGTCTGCCATTGATAGTGCCACATCCTCAATAGATTTGCGTTCCACAAGAATCGGACACAACTTGCCGTAATCCGGGCCACTTCCTGTCCACACGAAAATATAATCGCCGATCATCAAGGTATCAACAAAGTAGGGCATTTTGATAATGTCAAAATGGTTTAGCATCGACTGCAAACCATTCCTTCCACATCCACCCTCGCGGCGGTCCACTCCCACGCATATGTCCTTGTAACCGCGCTCCACTAGGTCGAGGGAATGAATATTGCTGGTGCGATAGTGCCCTGGGCCTGAAGGGAAATGGCGGTTCAGAATCCACTGGGCGGTGTTCCAACCCAGTGGGGTCAGCTCGAACACTACCTGCTTTTTCAACTTGTGTTCCCTGATGTACCCATAGCTTCCATTGTTGTGTTCCGGAATAACCTCGGAAGTGTGGGTTGTGCAGGCAATCTTGAGCTTTTCAATCTGCATATACTCTGCTGACTTGGTGCTTTGATCAGTATAGTACGCGACGCCACCGTCGCCATCCTTCTTTCGCAAAAGCCGACCAGGGCAACAAGGAAGCAGGCGTTGTTGAATGGCTGGTATGAGATCTGCCAGAGAAACCCACATGTCCTTGGAGGCTAGTTGCTTCTGCAAGGAGTCCTCAGTACTGTTGCCATCCAATCGCTTTTGTCTCCGCCGCTTTTCAACCTCGACGTAGAGACTAGCCAAACAAGCTTCTACAATGGAACAAAAGCGGCCACCAGTTCCACTGGCACCGACTTGGAGTTGAATACGGTGCACCTTTCCAGCGTCCAACTCTTGTTGAAGTGAGTTGTATTGAGTACTGTCCTGTTGCTTGGAGCTGTTGGAAGTTTTTCGCTGACAAAATTCCTCCAACGACCTCAAGGGATAGGGCCACAACGCCAACGAGACAACCTTGGTCACAGTGCCATGTAGATTGGGCCCAGTGTGAGACTGCGTGGTATAGGATCGAGCCCGAGACCAAAACGCCAACAAGAAAGATGCTCGAAGATCGGGATATTGTTTGGACCGAGGCAACAGTCTTGGATAGGGATAATTGTCGATTGGGAATATAGATGGATTGAAGCCAGTTGTGTTTGTATCAATGGCTCCCAGTAGATTGCTGTTTGTTGTCTTTTTGGTGTAGGGATTCACAATTGGGGTTGGACTAGGTCTGGAAAGATTGTTCCTAGGTGTCACTGGATTCTTTTTGGCATATGGATTCACAACTGGTGTTGACTTGCGAGCAGATGCTGATGAATCCACCGAGGATTGGGACAGGTTCGCAGTGGCAGGTTGCATAGAACCCAAAGAAACCAAAGGGCTCGCCTTTGACGCGGCGGGGGCCTTCTTCTTGGATATGCCAGGGATATCTACTAGCAGTGCATCAATGGAATCATCCGAATCAGAGTCGTCATTGGCAGGAAGCGATTGACCGAGAGAGACTCGGTTGACTGTTCTTTTCTTGGTTGTCGTTGTGTTGATCACCTTCAATGATTCTGCCTTGGCTCGTTCCATTTGGTCCAGAAAGAGAGCCTTTCCACCCGAGTTGGAACTGCCATTTTGTCGACTGCAAACTTGGCCTTCTTCTTCGTCACTGTCACTCAAGATTTCCACAATGTCATTCTTGCGTCTACTTGCTGGAGCAACACTGCTGCCATCGCCTTTGCCTCTTGCCACATTACTCTTGCGACGCCTACGAGAAGGAGGAGCTGGTGCTGCCACTTTGACTTCATCGTCATCGCTGGACAAACAGACAATCTCATCCGCCATGATCGACTATTACAATGGTTCTGGTCACCGAATACTTCAACTGTTACTTTTGCGTTTCGCGCCAAATTCTTGCGGCGAAGTCGATTAGAGGTGGGGTGAATTAATATTGGGAGACATCACGCTCGACAACACGCTATCGATCACTCCACACCGTGGAGCCGAAGCAATTCTATTCGCTGGTTTCGGCTGGAACCTGAAAACTCACTCATAGTTCCTCTTTGTATTTGACTACTCAGCCATCATGGAAGTGGATCAACAGCCTTTTGTAACCGTGGGCGCATTCCATTATGATTCTGAACGACGTGCAATGTTGTTTTGCCTTGGAAATGCTGAGATGGACGAAGTCAAGTCCTTCCTCGCTGTGTTCCAGGCTCCCATTCATGATTTCAGCCTCAAGATTTGTCCGTCTTTCTTCATGGTTGAGGCTCCGTCTAGCCGAATTGCACCACTATTGAAATACATTGGTGCCATGCCCAACTTGAAGGTCCTGCATATTGGATCCCTGGAAACGGAAGAGCTCAACAATGAAAAGAACAGTGTCGAAGTGTCCGCCCTCTCGGGTGCTCTGAACCCAAATCTGAAACAGTTTACATTGGAGAATCTCTGGCTCCGTGGAAGTCTTTCCGATATGGATGCGTTTGCCCACCGTATGCAGACAACCTTGTTGGATCTGGAAAGTTTTGTCCTCGACAAAGTCGGAGCCGGCACTGCGAAAGCACCGCCTAGATCTACCGGTACTGGTACCGGTATATTGGACACCATTTCTACAGCGATGGTTCAGATGCCCTCACTTCGTGGTGCCTGCTTGGAAGTCCGCGACAAGTCGCTCGGTGTCTTGCTCCCGTCCTCACTCCAGCTCTGCTTCGACAAAGGCAACAAGTGGGAACAGCTAACCTTGGGGAATGTGGGGTTGAGCACGCCTCATCTCAGGGTTCTGGGAGCGGCCAATCGGCACAAACACCTTCGCCGTCTGGACCTGAACTGCCACATCACAGTTGAGGGAGCCCTTGCTATTACAAGAATGCTGCGCACGCAAAGGACGCTGATGAAACTCACCCTGCGCTTGACATCAGACGGAGGCCGGAGCTCCGCTATTGGTTTGCCTCATGGCCGGAACAAAGCCTCCAGTGAAGTCCAACTCCACCGAAACCAAGTGTTGGCACAGGGGATTGTAGCTTCTCCAGTGCTCGCAGCATTGGAGCTCTTCAATGTGGATTTATCCACAAAGGAACTAAGAGAGCCCTTTTCTCAAATGCTACAAGACAACTATTCCCTTCGTGTGGCCAGGTTCCGATGCGAGAAGCAAGGCATAGAGCCACATGACCTCAGAGATCAAAGCGACTTCTACACTCGCTTGAACAAGTACGGAAGAAGCCATCTGTTTCGATGCCCCCGTTGCAGTGTCTGTGATGATGCGTACATTGCATTCATGGGCGGCCTTCCAAACAGAGATAAGGATCACCTCAGTACGCTTTTCTACTTTCTAAGAAACAAGCCTTCGCTTTTCCTGAATGTTCAGAGTGATGGCGAGAGTCTAGATGCGGGTCAACGCGCCACTGGCAAGCGCAAACGTCTCCATCGTTTCTCAAAACACAGATGCAAGTCCTACAAGGTTTGAAGTACTACCTCGACTCTCACTTCCACAACCCGGGGAACTATTCTTTTATGTCTCTCCATGTAGATATGGAGCCGCATGTCTATTTTGTTTGCCCGCACCATGCAGCTCTTGTAATCGCTATCAAGTTGAGGGACCCAGCTTTCCCGGCATGTTGGAGATAAACCAAAATAATACAGAGCCAACCTTCTGTCTTCTCGGCAGGTACTACCTCATATCGTATGCTGCATCCGTAGGTTGCAAGAAAGCGTACATCCATTGACTACACAGTGCACAATCACTTCTATTTCCTGCTGCTGAGCAAAGTACCCCAACACTTATTATAGTAGAAGCAGTGAAATACATCTTGGCGCGGTGTCTGCAGAGGTGCAACGAAGCGTTTGGGAGTGCTACTGGTACCGTACCTGTGCCATGGATATGAAGACATTGACGCAATGTGAAGTCTGCTCAGCAGAAACTACTAGCTAGTCCTGGGGGTGATGATTCTTCTGAGTTTCCTCAAGCAAGTTATCAATCTCATCGTTAGAAAGCAAGATAATTTAGTCTTTTGGTGTTTGTTACTAGAGTTTGCAAGATACATGTACATGTATGTGACAGTGTCTTGTTGCAGAAGAACTACCAGTAGCTAGAACACGAACGAAGATATGTTTTGGGGTTAAAGAGCTGCCACTGCTCAACACGTGTCCTTCAATTGTATCTTTCCTTTAGAATACATACGTGTAACCGTTCTCGCTTTAGATTTGTCTATGCACAGCAGCAATCTCTTTCTCATCCGCTGTCACTGCTTGGAAAAGCAATGCAATCTACCGGTATGCATCCACAAGAAGTGTGAATCGTCATGGTGTTGCCACCGTCGCATGCAGCATGTCATACATTCCTCGCTTACTTCAGATGATCACTGGAGGTTGGAGGGGCAGCAAGATTGGGTGTCGGCTGGTACTGAACTGCGCTGCCACGCTCGGTCTCGTGCATGCCCACAGCTCGATGATATCAGCGATGAGCCACCGCTAGCTAGCTAGCCCAGCTGCCATCTCGTCTCGTTCCTTGGTGGCTGAGCTGTGCATCGACGAAGAAATCCAAATGCAAAGCCAAACCCTTTGCCCCCCGTAATGGTCCTCAATTTCTTGCCCCTGATCCCACAGAACCTAGTCCTGAACTTCGACTGTTCTTTGCTTAAGCCTGGCCCCGGCTGGCTTCCGTAGATAATTTCCCTACTCTAAAACCCCCCATCATCAATGCCGTCACGGTGTGTGTCTTTGCTGTGGCGCGACGTGGATTTGCGGAAGCGTGGATCCACGATCCTGGCGACGTCAGCGGGTGACTCGGATGGGGCGGTTGCTTGGTGGATTGTGTCAGGCAGGTTCCCCGCAACCACCGAAGCCTGCTGCACGCTGCCAAGCATTTCACCATTGCCACTTCGAAAGAAGTCGCCACAAATCAAATCGAGCTGGTGAACCAGCTGTCCTTCGATATTATTAGCAGCAGCATGATTATTCCCAAGAAACACCCATCCCCTTCATCATCGAATCATTATTCCAAAGACAACCAACAGAACAAGAGACTCAAGATCATGAATAGCCAATGTCCGTACGCCGTGGCGCTGTCAGAAGACGAACGATCTCTGCAGTCGCAGCAGCAACAACAACAACAATCATCCCCCAACAGCACCCGCGCCTTGTTGGAACTACGACAATGTCCTGCCTTTGCCACGGCGAGCAAGTGTCCCTTTAAGGAAGCCAAATCGGCGGAAGCGATCCAAGAGACACTGGCGCAAATCCCCAAATCGCATTACACAGAGCACCAGAGTGGCTTTTATCAGGTAATGGAGCATTTTCACCAAGTTCAGCAGACGGGAAAGGGTGTCCAGTTGCCATCGGGTGGTCAGTGTCCCATGCAGCCGTATATGAGTGAAGGTGGCGCCTCCAAGAAGAAGTCCTTTGCGAGGACCATGGAGGAATGTTCCATGGCCGCCATCATGGCCCGACTTGCGTCGGACATGGAAGGAGAGGAAAGTAATAGTGATGGCAAAATGTCACCGCGTCATTCGGAAACCTCGTTGTTAGTGCCCCCCGTGGAGCAGCTCGAGCAACAGCCGGACGACACTCAAGAAGAAGAAGAACCCCGTCGCAACTCTTTGGCGGAAGCGCTCAAGACGGGAACGGCCGTGTCGCATCAAGCCGCCGAAGACGTCCACTTTGTCCGCAACTTTATTCGTGGCCAAATCGATCGTCATCTCTATCAGGAAATGATTCTAGGTCTGTACCATGTCTACGTGGCACTCGAAGAGACGTTGGATCGACATGCTCCCGCTATGTTTCCTTCGTGCCATTTCCCGCAAGAGTTGTCGCGCAAGGAATCCTTGCAAGAGGATTGCGAGTTTTGGCACAATACCCGCACTCCGTCTCCACGGACCATTAGTGCGGCCACACAAGACTATATCGATCGCATCCAGTACTTGGCGCATCACGACCCATTGCTGCTCCTGGCGCATTCGTATACCCGCTATTTGGGGGACTTGAGTGGCGGTCGCATTCTGGCGCGGGTGGCACGACGGGCATTGGATCTGGACAAACAATCGGGTGACGGATTGGCCTTTTATAGATTCGAAAAAGTCGAATCCTACAAGGCATTCAAAGACAATTATCGACAATCCTTGGATGCTCTGCCCTTGACCAGCGAACAGATTCAATCGCTCGTGGCCGAAGCCAATGTTGCGTTTTGCTTGAATATGCGGCTCTTTCAGGAGCTCGATGTCATGGCGACCATACCGGGTGCCGAGGTCATGTCCATGGAGCAAGTCATGGAATATGCGCACAAGAAGGGGACTTTGTCCGACTCTGATAATAAAGCGCAAGAGCAGTGTCCTTTTCTGGTAAACAAAAAGAAGGAACAACAACAACAATCTGCTGGCGCTGTAATGAAGAAGGGAGCAAGATGCCCCTGGCCCTTTGTTGTGGCGCATGATCCCTGGCAGTTTGCCAAGGATTGGCAGACATGGCTGTTGGTGGCGTTGATGGTTACGTGGTGGTACAGGTGGTAGTCAACTCGAGATGCCGCCGCCTACTGGTACATCCAAGGTGTACAGCAACCCCACACTTCAGCCCACATTTCCAGTCGCCCATCTGGCGCGCTGTGCTTGGCGCACGAAACATGGCCCCCTCTCTTGGTTACAGCAGCGGAAAAGGAATGATCCTCACCCTCATTGGAATCGAATCCATTCTCATCACTTATCCACGACCTGCACTTATATCAGCTCGCTCTCAACAACACGGACGGCAAAATTTAAATGTCCAAAAAGAAATTCACATCATGAAAATCAGAAAATAACTCTTATCTAATATTCCTTGCTTGCTATGCATCTCTCATCAAAAGCAATAGCCTTCACAACGACTAGCCTAGCTAGGAAAGCCAAACCCTTTCCTCGTATTGGAATCCTCATCTTCCAGGCCTCGGCGGCGCTTCTTGTTTGTGGTTGTCAGGAGAGTCCTCACTATTCTAGTAGCTCAATGACACTTGTTACCCAAAACTGATGATCCTTACAGCGATACAAGTGCATATTAGCTAGCTATAGCATTTTTTCTCTATTGTTGATGGTGCGTGACGGGCTACCAGTATCGGCACATCTCCCTACTGCTCTACAGAATCGTCAACCTCTCTGAAATGTTTGAAGAAGGCTTTGAATAGTGCCAGACCATTTGTCACTGCGTATTGGATCAAGGGGGAAAAGAAAGGTTAGCAAGAGTACAAAGGAGGTGCTGTGTTCATTACATCGTCCCGGGCATCCAATCGAAACTAGACTTACAGTCGCACACACCCATTGTTTCTCGGATGGAATGCATGGAGAGTTGAGGGCATCCTAGTTGAAGAAAAGGCGAGCAAATGGTTAGCCAAAGCACCAAGGAAAGTGGATTGTTTGTAGACCAAAAAGGACTCACCCATGTCAATCGCCCTGATCCCAGTGGCAGTACTAATAAGAGGCCCAATGGTGCTGCCGCAACCGCAGTCCTGACGAACGATGAATTCTTGTACAGGAGGCAGAGACGCTCGTTTGGCAACTTCACGAATCAGCAGTCCAGTGACCGCTGTTGTAGCATATCGTTGATTGGAATTGCGTTTGATGACCATGCCCTCGTTCATTTTTGGCTGATGAGCAGCTTCGTGCTTGGCGGCATAGTTGGGATGAACAGCATGCGCTTGATCCGATGAGAGACAAAAGCTCTTTCGTAAACACGAGTCTAGAGCATCTTCGTCACTGCCGTCATTCAGAGCAGCCGCGATTCTTCGAACGGACTCTCCCGTGATGGGGGATGCAGCTCCAACACTTGATTGTGCGTGTAGTTAGTGGTGAGGACAGTACAGTAGGCTGGCTAGTCAGTGACAAGGAGACGCATAAAAAGCGAGGGCGGGGTCACCAAACACACATCCAACAGCTGGAAGTCAATTTGTAGAGAGCACTTACGCACTGGCACTTCCCACTTCTTCGTGATCATACAAGACCACCATGGAAATGTCTTTATCTTGGTCCACATTTCCTTCTTCCACATGATCGACGAGAGCCTGTACCGCCAAGAAACAACTTGCCAGGTTGTCCAACCGTGCCGAATAGATGAACTCTGAGTAAGCTCCACCCAGAGCAGCCTTTTGAACATCAAACAAGTTCAATTCAAAGTCTACAATTCTGGATACATCCACTCCCAGTTCTTCGGCTAGCAGCTGTAACAGAAGTGGTTCCTGGTACTCGGACCAGCCATCTTTGTCGTCTTTTTTCTTTTCGTCGTCTTTGTCGTCCTTGTCCTCATCGTCATCTTCATCCGACTTGCTATTACCCCCCGTCAACGATTTCTTAGCTTCCATGGCAAGAATGGGACTCAAATGATCTTCCTTGTTGACTTTGAAGGCTTCCCGTTCTTCTTGTGTCAACAAATGAATGGCCAGATTGGGGACGCGCAAAATGGCTCGATCCAACCGAATGAGTTTTTGTTCCATTCGTTTCCCATCGCTGCTTCGCACCATGACGCGTCCACTGATTCCCAAATCTCGGTCAAACCAAGTATGCCACAATCCACCTCCATAACACTCGACTCCAATTTGTTTGACACCCGCCTTGCCTCGTTTGGATCGCGGCTTGACTTTCAAATTGGGACTGTCGGTGTGACCACCGATAATGTGAAATCCGAATTTTCCCGTTTCGACGGCGTTTCCCACGACAAATGCCACCAGAGTGGATTTGTTGCGCGTAAAGTAATATTTTCCGCCGGGAACAACCTTGCCACGGTAGGGAACTCCATCGGGCAATTCTTCAAACCCAGCGGCCGTCAACAAGTCGATGGACGTTTGGACGGCAAAAAAGGGATCCGGCGAAGAGTCAAAGTAGTCCATGGCCTTGCGAGCCAATGGTAGATGGTCGGCGGTGCGAGATGTCAAGGGGGGCATGGCACCAGCAGCGAGTCCATATGCCATGGTGGACATGCAGGAGATTGTCCAGAGCATCATCATGATCATCATGGCTGATGATGATGCGAGGATATTCTGCTGGATAGGATTTCGTCGAATCATCATGGTTGGTACAAATAACAAGTCAATTTTGCTGCCTCTTGCGACAGAGATAATGGTACTTTGTAGGTTGCTTGACTTCCTCCTTCACAGGCATCAACAATCAACATCAATTACCAATTACTCAATAGTTCTTATGGCTTTTTGCTTGTTGATTGGCATCACATCTTCGTCATTTTCTTTCCAAGCATGGTGGGCAAGTACGTGTCGTCTTTCCCCGATCTCGCTTGTGACGTCATACAAATCTAGTTGGCTGCCACCGAGGAAACAACAATCACAAGCAGGGTTAGTTGCTACTAGCTAGAAGCACTTTGCGCCAATTCTAATATTCAAACAACAGTTATAAACCTTCAACCGTCTCTAGTATACCAGGCGTCAATCCTCTAAATAGTCGATGCCGCATCCTCTTTCGGCAGTTCCAGCAGTTATCAAGCTTCCGATTTCCACTCTCCAGCAAGAGACAATCTCAGCCGCACATTTTCTAAAGCTCCTATAATAGGATTTCAAAGTTCCACTGCACTTTAATTCGCCGCGAACCCTGAAGATTTTATCAAAAAACTTCAATCCAAATGCAATCACCCTGATGCAGCCTGCACTCACAATTTGTTTCAAGAGACCGTCGAAGGACGTTCCGCCGCAATGGCATCCCCTCGATCTGAAGGGTCTCTGGATTCTATCCATGTCGACTTCTACGCTTCATCGTCCAAATCTAACCAAGCCAAACACAACAGCATTGCTTTGAAGATCCAAGATTATATTGATGAACTGCAGGACTGGCTTGGTTTGTCAAGGTTCAACTATACAGATATCACTGAAACTGGAGGCTCTTTCTCAACCAATGACCAAAACATAACAAAGTGGTGGTTTGCTTTTTGGGCTGGTCAGCCAGCTTTCTGGTTCAGTCTCAAGAAACCAAATGGAGGTGACTATGCAGTTGGCACTCTGGAACGCTACATGCCCTCCATAAAGAATCAATTGGCCAAGAAGTTCCTTCTATCCCATTTCCACAAAGCAATTGAAGAGACCTACACCTCAGCCTTGAGTTCCGTAAAAGCAATGGTAAAAGCACACAAGAGGGAATCACCTCAAACCAAGAACAAAGTGTACACCAGTGCAGATATTGCGTTCATTCTGCAATGTTACCTCTGGCTGAATCAGGAGAAGTTCATTGACCTCTACGTCTTCCAGACAGCCACCCTTCGACTTTGCAGCAGGGTAACTGAAACCTCCCATCTCTCCATGGAGGACCTCTCTGTCAGAGAGCTCTGTGAGGGATCCCTCAACAACATCCTCCAATGTTATCTTGTACGTGACAAGATGGGGGTTGACAACATGCCCTTAATCCCAAACAAACATGATCTTTTTGGTGATCTTGTTGTTGCTATTGGTCTGAGCTTGTGCATCCGCGGTGACAAAGCCCTCATGCCGTCGATTGCGGCTTTGGCCGATTCATCCGTTCCAGCCCATTACAAAACCAGTCTCAACATCATCTGGAAGCACTACCCTCCTGCAGAGAATGTCACTGTCCGGAAAGGTACACCCCACTTTGGCAAGCACACTGCCCAGTTCCTTCTTGATGGAAACAAACTCCATATTGCTGCTCAACTGTTCAGTGGTTGGAACGCATTGGAGAAGGAGCCCGTGTTGAGTACTTTTCAAACCCCTTTCCCTACCTCCTCGATGGTGCAAAAGCCCTTGCAGGCTGGAGCAAAGTTGGGGGGAATGGCGACTATCAGCGCGTTGCTATTCCATCCTATGATGCGATCTCAAAAGACCTTGGCGACAAGATTTGCTCAGTTTTCTTTGGTCATATCTCTGAAGATGTACTCTGTTTCCAGGCCAAACAAATGATCTTAGTGTGCATCCTAGCCAAATGGGATCAGCTTTTACACTACATTCAGGCAGAGCCTAATGGCTTATTCAAGGATCCGAGTAATCACATCATTGTTGCAACCCTCATGCAACGACTCCTTCAAGAAGACCTTGAACTAGCTGAATTCAACAAATTCAAGTCCTCCTGCCAAGAACTCTTCACAAAAGTCAACCACCTTGTCGCCAACATTTCCCCTCTTGACAAGGAGAATATCATTCCAGTCGCTCCGTTTACCGCCCCCATTGTATCGAAACCATCACCATCTACAGACTCCCTCTGTTGGAGGAAATATTCCTGATACCTCTATTATTATTGACTCGTGTATTAAACATCTAGTCCGGTTCGCATGCATATTCATGATGCAAGGAACCAAGGGAATTTTAGGTCTAAAGTGTTGCGGGGGTCCTTATATCCAATTCAATCACAAGAATTACTGTGGCAAGATTGGACACAGGAAATCGGATTGCCTAAAACTCAAAGCAGAACAAAGAAACGCAGAAGGAGCGAACACAGCGCAAGAAGCAACAGAAGAAATGGCATTTATGACGATGAGCGATGAAATATGCATGCCATGCCGAGGAGTAGAGTTGTCAGACGATGAAACAGGAGGAGTAGAAGAAGCGTCGGAATATGAAGGTAAATAATGGGATGCATTCTGGGATAATTTTGAAAGCGGAGAAGACGTGGATGAAGATGGAGAAAGCTTGGAGCGATTGACTCATGAGGCGATGGACGCCCTTAAGTCTCTCCAAGAAGAACAGCAACGATTGACTGAAGTAGAATCAGTCACATACAACGAGAACCCAGACGTCACCTTTCTGTCCTGCGAAACAGAGAGCAGGGTAGATTCTGACAGTGAAACGCTCCACGATTTAAAGCAAAACGGCTACAACGAAGACGCCTACACTAGGCCCATCCTAAGTGGGCGCCCTTGTGCGCCTGAGGTATATGGGTTCGTCACGGCACCGTTCAGCGGATCGTCTGACGAGGTGTAGCCTTTAAAATAAAACTTCGTTATTCCAGGAGAAACAACGAACAACAAATTCGCCCACAATCTACGAAGACGACAACTACTACAGCTGTTTGAGCGAAGACGACGACGAAGAAGAAGATGTCGACCAGATTCCAAGCTGCCCGAGATGTGCTGGAGGCGCAACTCAACCGAGGTTGGAGTCGACACATGATGAAGATTATCACGCAACCAATTCCGTTGAGCAACCGACATCCCATGAACCGAGCAAACGAAGGATGGGAATTGGACGATTCATTCATAGCAGATGGAGAATGGAAGAAGATCGCGGAAGAGGCATGCCAACTGATCCCCCAGTACGAATGGGAAGAATGCACTACGCTAAAAGCTAGTGTAAAGATCTTTCGAGTGTTTTGAGTTTGAGAGAATGAAAGTTATGAGAGGATTAGAAAGCTATGAAAACTAATCAACGAGAGAGATCCACAATCAAAGGATCGTAGATCTGAACTCCCGCGGGAGACTGTAGAGTGTGATAGAGTAGGTTGCGGTAGCAATCCTACTCACTCCACGATCCAAAACGGAACGCGTGGAAGATTCGTCTAGCATTTATCTAGTAGCGTGGGATCTCTCCACGCCAGCTAAATATCTAGCGCGATGTTTCACCATCGACCTAGTATGACTAGCGGTCATGAGAACCCTGTCTCAATGACTATTCACGAAAGACTCAGTCATGAGTCGAACTCAAACCCTATCTAGGATCGAGTCGCGAATAAGGCTAAGAGCCATGTATTGCATTCACCCCCTGACAATGGTCACGGAAGGCACGACATCAGTCGGACAAGGAGAACATATGAATTAAAGTGTGGGGCACTCTCCGGAGATTGGATGTAGACATGTGCGTCGCACGATGGCAATCCTACAAGGGGATCAGGCCTTGTATGGGTGTAAATACCTTATGTTCCAAGTCTGGTAGACTGTGCCGCTATTGGCGGTAGTATGTCGGAGCCGTACAGTGCCATTGTTATTGACTCGGTCTGTGTGGTAAGGACCTTGTGCTTTGGCTGACCGTATTAGCGGTGCTGATACTGATGAATCATCATAGCATCGTTGACATTGTGTTGATGAGGGACACGTGTCGTGTTGTTCCTTTCGCTGTTTTTTCTGGATAAGTCGTTGGCGACGTTCCTTGATGTATTTCCAGTTTGCTTCGAAACGGGTGTTGTGAATCTGGTCACGATTGACGCGCGTGAACTTGCGACGAAGTCCATGTTCATCCCGGAGAGTCTTCTCGACCTCTGCGCGGGACTCACGTTCTCTGTCCATGACAACCTCGGCCGGTCATGGATACGGGGTAACCCACGTCTGTCTTAGAACGATGGTTACTTCGTCTGCTGTCTTGGAGCAGACTTTGGTAGTTCATTGGTCCAATGAATCCACGAAGTTCCTTCTTGTTCGTAGGAGGAGCGATAGCTGGATCGCATCTATGCGACAATACCATTGTGCATTGACTAGTCTAAGGATCTAAGAGATGTAAAGTTTGTATTTCCAAATAAGTGAGCAGTTATTGATTATTTTCTAGAATAAGCCTGCTAGTTGTAAAGCTGTAAAGCTGAATTGTAAGCTGTATCCCGTCGCACTCCCTTACAGCTGAAATGAAGCTGGAGCAAGAAACGATAGGAGAGAGTCCCCAGCAAAGTGCTGAGGTAAATTACCATCCCATGAGGAGCTTTCCGAATGACAGCAAACTGTGAGCCGGAAGACCCTTAGTGAAAATGTCGGCCCGTTGTTCCAGAGTCGGAATATACTTAGCCACGATGCCCTTCGACTCCCCGATATTGGACCTGAAGAAGTGTACTTCAATGCCAAATACTTGTTGCGCGCAGACATTTTGGGAACATTCACAAGAGACAGGCAACCTTGGTTTGTCTTCGAACACTGTAGAGCGCACGAGACTGTCAGTAATTACCGGCATATTCAGTTTGCTACCAATTTCTTTGAGCAAAGCTCGCATAGGAAGCAGCTCCCTCATTGACATGCTGAAGGCAACATACTCGCAGCAGTGGAGCTCAAAGTAATATCAGTCTGTAGCTTGCTGGACCAGATAATAGGGACCCAAACAGAGTCAGGACAAATCCAGTGCGAGACTTGACGGACACAGGATCCTGTTCATCCTCATATCCATACAATCCGGCGAAGTCAGCATCGACCCAACAGTCAAGTCCCTGATCAAGTTTAGGGCTAAAACAAATGCCTTTGTCACTTGTGCCAACAGATACCGAATGATAGTTTGATTGCTTGACATGGGAATGCCTGGGATTGTGACTGAATCGT